CGAAGCTTCTTTTTTCGTTCAACATCTTCTGAGGGAACTTGTCCTAAAACTCTTTCCAAGATATTTTCAAAATTCTCTACTTCCTTCTCAAGAATGCCACTCCATTCACCTTGTTCTACTCGTACATATAATGCCGTAGAAATCCTAATGATATCAAGGGATTCTTTTGTTAAAAAAAATTCTTCCATTTTTCGGTATAATAAAAATCGCGAGTAAGAAATACAATAACTAAAAGTGACAAGTAATAATAAATCACTATTTTGACCTTTTAAAACGTTTCACCCACCCATTTCTGCCTCCTTAGGTATGGGAAATATTAGATTCAGGGAATGTGAAAGTGGAGCGATGCATGACGAAAAAAAAAAACTTTTCACAAAGAAAATGTGAATGCCACGAGTTAGTCAATCAGATTTAAAATTTATAGCAACAATCAGCAGGTTACATGAATAATTATGCATGATCTTTAATTTATTTCATTAACTCAATATTTTTATTTTATAACAAAAATATATATCAGAGACACTAGTGGAGCTATAATTTGATATTCGGCTAAAATTTATGTGTCAAAGACACTAGCTCCGCTATTATTACGAAGCAATGGGGCTCTGCCTCTATTTTTTCAAACGAAATTCTGTATAGCAGGACAAGGTCTAATTTCCCACATTTATTCCAGTGGTTGACTATCTACATCGTATATACTAACATCACTGTTATTTTGGGATGAGGGTATATTACCAGAGACATCTTCATGGTTAGAAACAACATTACTCTGATCCATTTCTGAAGAAATATTATTATTTTGTGTTTCATCTGTGGCCCCAGATATGACAGCATCCTCACTCCGTGAGTAAGGTGGTGGCGGTTGAAGAGATGACATTTCAACGGAGCCAGCGTGATCAGTATTTTGCTCAGGATTTTCCACACCAAAATTGTTTGTATTAGTGTTTATTGCATCGCAGGGTGGAGGTGGAGATGCTGACCGTCTACGATTTCTTCGACTATCAACAGAAGTTCTTCGGCTTCTTCAGTTACCTGGTGATGTTCGACCCAATTTCTGTTCAACTTCCCCAGTAAATGATACGGGTGAATTATTCCTCCCAATTCTACGTTGTCTACAATTAGAGCTATTAATGTTACGGATTCTATCAAAATTGTCTTCAGGTCTCTCCCAAAAATGTGTACGGAATTCATCAAAATATCACGTACCCGTTCGACTTCTTCGTGCTCTTCGATTCCCTGCCATATAATTGCATATCAACTAATTGACATAAATTATTAGTCATAATAGCTAAGATGTAAACAAAAAAAGATCTGGAAAAATTTCTTATGATGCCATACTTACATTGTAATCCCGAACAAGATTCGAAAATTTTTCTTTACATTGGTGTCCATTAAAGCTCGTATT